TTTCTACTGTATCTTCTATGTGGTCTTATTTCTCTTGTGAAATTCCTTCCATAACTATTGGTAGACTGTAGTATTGGATTTGTTACTTGTTCGGTCCACAGCATTTCAAATATTTCAGTGGGAGTACTGGTATATCAACTTTCACGCCAGTTGAATTTATATCAAAATTAAATTCAGGAATATCTCTCGTATATTCAAGCCAATCTTCTTCAACTTCGTCATCGCTACTTTCAATATTTTCATTGTCTTTTGAAGATTTACTTGTTTTTTCATCTGATATTTTATCTAAATTGTCGCTATTATTTTCCTCTGGAGCAAATTCATCTGAATTATCGCCACATTTAGATATTTCTGCCTCATCTTTCTCGACTTCATTCAAACGCATTTCTTCAGACGATTTCATTATACAATTTTACGAAAATAGTACCTAATTCCAATACAAGCAACTCTATACATTGGCTTTTCAAAACAGACTAGCAATAAAACGTAGAGATCATTTGAAGCATAACGTTCGGCACTTCGCTCGATTATCCTCATATTTGACTCCTTTTTCTTTCTCTTACTGGTGATTCCCATAAACCAAAATTCTTTATAATGGGACACCGTCTTCATATGAATCGGTATATAGGTACACTTAACGACGGTCGCGATCGTCATGGTTCTAACGTTCAGAATAATGTGGACGGCTGTGACCGTCATGTCCCAAACAAAGATTTAATTAATGACGGTCACAGCAGTCTTGTCCGCGAAAGGGTTAAATGAAGTTGGATATGTATTAATAGGTATAATAGTCTCGACTATTGGCATTCTAATACGGTACTTCCCTCTCGTATGTCGTGGACAATCCGCCTTTACTTAGATACTTGGAGTTCGCACTTGGAACTCGGAACTTGGAGAAACTACGTAACTCTGAGCTTCTTGGAGAAACTACGTAACTCGAACTTGGAGTTTAAAGCTTTGAGTTTCTTGGAGCTTAAAGCTTCTAGGAGCAACTACGTAACTTGGGACTTCTTGAAGCTTAGAGCTTCCTGGAGCCACTACAGGTTTAGAAATAAAAAGAACCTCTAAAAATACATATACATGCCAGTTTGTAAATCTAACGGACTTATGCATTAACGGAACAAATATTAAAGTTACAACGTTTGAACAGAATATAGAATATCGGGACAAATATCAAAGTTATATCATCTGAACAGAATATGAAATATTTATAAGACCAAAATAAGTTAAGAGAGTTTTCCGTTTAAACTGTATTTCCAGACTGACTTGTAATTCAATTATTTACTTGCCTCCCCGCGTATATATCAAAGTATCAAAGAAAGCTTAAAAATATTATTAGGTAGGGTAGCTATAATCTATATAAAATAAAACAGTAATAATGGTAATAAAAAGAAGCAAATGGCCGATCCTCTCGGTTTTCCAACGAAATCCAGCAAAATGTTAAAATATAAGGCGAAAGAAACATTACCTGACAATTATCCCAACGTTAACACACAATAAACACATAAAAGAAAAGATAATTATGGAAAACTACTTATAGTAGCTAATTTATCGGCACAAACTACCACGTTGAACTCGATACACCAAAACACCGGTTGAATCCACACAAGTCGGTTTTACCTCGGCGTGGTTGTTCAAAAAAACACTACTGACCGTGCGCAAACCGAACTTTCCAAATTTCGAGAAGGAAGCGAGAAGTGGTCGTTTGTGTTACGAGGGGTTATGGAGAAGTTGTTGTTAAAAATAAATTTGAAATTAATTTTACGTAACACTGTTTATGTGTTTAACTTCAAAACGGGTAATAAATGTAAAATATATTGATAAAATGGGGTTCATTTCATAAACAAAACACATACGTGGCTATTCTGTGACTATAAAGACTAGAGAGAAGGAGGCGAATCGGCAATGGTCAAATTTCAAATTTCCGTCCTTCTTTTTATAAAGTTCGCGAAATTGACTGTAATTGGCATGTCGAATAGCAGTTGTATCAATTTTCTATGTCAGTCAATGTAAAATGAAGTGATTTTTTAAAAAAATGGTAAAAAGAATCAAAATAATGTGAAAAAAGTACCTGAGTACAAGTAACATGAGTGACAAAAAACATCAAAGCAAGATTTACGTCTTTCCAGATTGTAAAACAGGATACAAATCAAATGTAAAACTAAAGAAAACTCAAGGAGAAATCAATTCAATGTCTTTTTAATGCTTCTAATGTAAATAAAATAATGTATTTATGTTTAAATATAATATTTATTGTAAACTAGTCACAATATGTATCTTACGGAGTTTAGTTTATTTTATTACAAGTTTCTATAATATAAAATTTTACAGTCATAGATCCTGACTTACAAACAACAATAATTATACATTAAATTTAACTTACTAGAAAAAAAAAATATTTTTCATAGAGTTTTAATGTTAGATAAAGAGTTGCTACTGTTATTTTTTTTGTTGAACCCCAATTGTGTCATTGTAAATATTTTTTATAGGATACTAAACGCTTAGAACAGTGGTATCATCTATATATATCATTCCTTGTGCCGATAGAGCACTTTCTAGAGATGATGCTGTTCTATACTTTTTAAAAGATATCAAATATTATGAGACTATTTTTACTGATGGTACTGTTAGCAAAATACAAAGGGGAAAACTGATATTAAAGGATAAGGTAATACCATGTACATTTCCAAATTTCCCTTTATACTTGTATTACAACAATAAAACAATCTGTTAACTGTGTTTTATTTTGCTCTTAAAACTATATATAGGTTCAATTCAAAAAAGCTTTGCCACAAAATTGTACTTATCAAATTTCAGCATTTAACAAACCTTTTCGAATTTGGTCATACCCACCTAATTTGTATTTTATATAGATAAAATTAAATAATTTATCAAATAAAACATGCGAGCTTTATTTAGAAATAAATACAACAGTATTTTCTGTGCTCTATTTAGCTATAAACAAGTTTATTAGTTTGACAAAATTATGTATAATTCCCATAAGAAGCCATGTATTTTGAACACTGTTAGCAGTACCAGCGCCCATGCGGTTAATTATAAAAGCTCAACTAACGTGCATTTTTTGGAACCGTATTTTGAGTATGCCGATTCGCCTCCTTATCTCTAGTTATCATATCTGTGACATATTCATTCAAATAATTTATTATTTTTTTGACCATTTACTAAATGTGTATCTAACTCACGAGAATAGGTAGAGAAGAATCTACAACCGTATTCAATGCGTTCGCAGAGCATACAAATGGCAAATAAATCCCAAACCGTTGGAACTCGCGTATGCGCATTATAAAAGAGTCACCAACCGTTGGAAACCTACGAATAAACCTAATATATGATCAGTATACTACCGTTTGATATTTATACAAGACTACATATTATTGTTTCAATTGTTTTCACATAGGGTTCCACACTTGGCTGGTGTTTGATTTGCAGAGTTCTCTTCTATATAGTGGTAAGTCTAGAGAATTCCGTGACTTCCAAGGAATTTTGGGCCTACCGAGACTACCGAAAGAATTCTGGGAATTTCGGCCAAATGTGTACACGGAATTCCCTATAAATTTACCCCTCGATTTTTATAGTTTATTTAGTTTTAAAATAACATATATGCTATCTTTATATTTTAGTGTAATTTTACTATTCTGGACCGCGAAATTAACTGGACATTTGATTTTCGTCGTTGTTTCTTTTTTAAACAAAGATGATTTTTGATAGTATAAAATAAGGTTTTAATGTATTATGTAAAAAATGTTTATAATTATAATTCAACATTATCGATTGAAATTATTTTCCTTTAAATATTTGTTATCGATGTGTCCGATTAATGTTGCTGCTGAGTAAGAAAGAATGATACTTTTTCTTTTGCGCACTATGTTATTTTATTTGCGTTACGTCCCTACTTCGTAAGCTTACGTATGTACGTGGGCGTGAAGGATATTTGAATACGCATTCGTAGCTGTCAATTTTCTCGTATACGTTTACGTTTATAGCAACACTTCACCTCTATGTTAGCAGATAAACAAATTTTTGTGTGATTACTCATTGTAATATAATGTAAAGAACATTAGCAGTCAAGAGCTGGGGGTGCAGGGAAATGATGACGGTAGTAGCGAACCGTCGTCTGCATTCTTCCAGGCAGAACAAAATGGGTCGCCTTGAGTGCTATAGTGAAATCAAGCTGTTAGTTGATGCTCACGCATTGGCCGCATTCAGCAGAAGCAACCGATTATCAAACGATAACTTAGCGATGACTTATCGATTAGTAAATCTCCTGAATGAACTTTTTAGGCACTTCGACAGGCGACACAAAAGTGACATGTACTTCAGAAAAAAGTCATCATCTAAAACATAGGTACAAAATTTAGAATAAAATACCAAATAAATTACTCAATTACATAATTATAAATTAATGTATTTGCCTGATTTTAATGCATTGTGCAACACTTCATTACCAACTACTATACATTTCATATTGTTATAAACATATATCACTTCAAAGTCCTTCATTTCAGTGAAAAATTTCAAATTCAGTGTAAAACTGAATTCAAAATAAACATAAAATAAGGTTATGAGTTATGAGCACCACCACAAAACATTCACTTCAGTTGATATGAGTTCTAAATCTAATCACGATGTGATAACTAATCGTATTTCAAATTAGATGTTTTAAATGGCGGCCGATAACTCATCATTTGATTACTAATCGCTCTTTTATATATCATTCAGCAGAAAATCATAAATCGATTGCTTCTGCTGAATGCGGCCATTGTTCTATTTGACTTAATAATTGTTATTATCTATTTATAAATGCAAAACAATTTTCATCGTGAATAAATTCAAGGATTTATTCTACAATTCCTTGATATTAATAGATATGTCGAGCGCGCTTTAGATTTCTACATAAAAAAAGCAAAACACAAATACCCATTATGAATTATTGTACCTAACATACGTTGTTTTGAACATATATTATCTTTTTATTGCAGTGAACTCCGAGAGCGAATTCAAATTTTTTCACAGCAATACTTCAAAAGGTGCATCTTGTGAAGAAACTGTCAAGTATGAATGTCCACTTATTCTGTCCTCGTTTTGTAGACGGGAAGTTAAATACCAAAGAAATGCAATTATGAACAATTTGTCTAGAAAGTTCACTGGAAAAGTACCAGATAATTATTTGTAATTGACTTCGAATGAGAATAATATATTTTTTTAACTTTTTCAAAAATAAAGTTTTATTGATACTATATACCTGTCCTCAAAAATAATTTTAAATTTGATACTGTCACTTCCAGAACCTAGTTACAGTAGCGAACCTAGATCTCGGGGACTTCGACTGGAGGCTCTGGATCTTGATCGCGGTTTGAACGGTTAGATCGATGGTAGTGGAAAATGTGCCCATTATTATTTATCCCATTTTTGTATTAATATATACCAGTAGTAAATAACAAGGGTAATTTAATATATAAAACTAATATTTGTGACAAAATTTTATGGAGAATACAACAAAAAAAAAAAGAAAACAACTAAATTTTCATTAATCACTGCTCAAATAATGATTTAGCTTTACACGACTGAATGATCAAAACAATAGCCAGTTAGAAACGGAATTAGAAGAGCCTGTAATTGTTAATATATGGTGTGGCTGTCTAGGTTATGATGTGCAGGGCCGCCGAGAGGCAGGGAGAAGACTTCCCCAAACGTAAATAACATATATTCCATAAAATATAAAAATGGCCACCTATAAAGTACCCCCCCAGATGTTCCGACTCTGCCCAAAATCTAATCAGCTCATTAGACGCTGGAACAAAGCTTAAGTTTGAAATTTGGTGTTTTTCCGTGTATCGGTTCATGAGTTATGCGTTATACAGACACACACACACAGACATCATCGCGAAAATAGTCAAAACGGATTCAGGGGACCTCAAAACGTAAAAATCCGTCGAAAACTCGAGGTCGAAAAAATCATGATTCCTATACTTTCCTTATATCTGCATACAGATAGGAAAGTAAAAAAAAGGAAACAGAAAACCCTATTGTCGGGCCCCTCTTATAGCGCTGCCGGGCCCCCATTTAAGCCCGGGCCCCGGGAATTAGTCCCGGCTACCCCCCCCCCCTCTAGTCGGGCCTGATGATGTGTCTTAACCAGTCCTAACGCGATTGTTATTCCTATTTGTTTTTTTTTTAAATACATTTTATAATATAAAATTTCGTATTTTTAATAATAACAATAATGGTAGTTTTAAAACATAAAACGCCACCCTATATGTTTGCCCCAAATTATATCATAGAAACTGCCGAGGTGCCCAGAAATTCTAAGAATCCCACCAGCCGGCAGCTGAAGTTTCTTTTATCAGCATACATGTGTTAACAATGATTATTTTTTACATTTTTTAGTCTGAACTCTGTTTAAATAAAAAATATTTTTTTAAAAAACGATTTTTCAAATCGTGTTATATTTTTGGCGCAGTCAGTAGGATTGTCACGAAGAATCCGACGTGGATAACTTTCGCTATTTTTATAGTTAAGTGACAATTACGAACTTTCAACGTTTCGCACCAATTTCGAACTTTCCATCGCGAGAAAAGTTTTGTGGTGCTACCAAAGAACTGTACTGGAGACTTCTTTGGTTAAGACGACAGCCGGACCTTCGATGCAAACGAAAACCGTACTGTAAGTTTTATTTTTCTTATATGTCAGACTCCTCTAACATTGATTCCTTATCCTTTAGTGATCACGAATCTGATTTAGAGCTAGATTTTGTAATTGGAAGTTTTAACTCGATTAATATTAACGATAATAATTATCCAACTAATTTTAGTAAATTGACAAATATTTTAAATCAAACAATGACTCCTCCCCCTAAATTTCAAAAGGTTCACGCGGAGACCATACCTGATTTTTATGGCGACGAAAACGAGTTGCAATTTTTCCTAGAAAGTATTGATAGCATAGTTACCCATTTTTATGATAACGTAAATATTGGAAACTATCAGAATGTTATAATATTTAGAACGATTATTCGCTCCGTGCGAAGTCATGGAAAGGGAAGCAAAAGCGATACTAGCGCTAGCTGCGGATAATTCGTGCATTTTAGAGCGATATTTTGTAATTTTGGCATATCAAATACACGTATACATTTTACTTTTTTTCAAAAAAAAGTATGTAAAAACAATACAATAAGCAACCGGAGTTGCTGTGTTGAAAATTGAACAAATACTAGCAAAAAAAAAACAGTGAAACTTATATAAAAAATTTCAGTAGCAAAGTGGAAATTAAATCAAAGAAATAAATGGATAGATATACAATAAGAAGAAAAATTACCTTTATTTTTGTAATAATAACCGTAATGCTGCAAATAGTAGACATCAGAAACTTGAAAGGTTTTAAATCAACAATAAATTATCATTTTACCATGTTCTTTAATATCCCTTATTCTTAAATGTTCATTCAGCAAGGACTAGATTTCAAGATTTCTGCCTTTGATTATTATATGTGGTTGGAACGCAATTTTGTAACTTACTGATGGGAAATCAGTTTTAATCATTCATTCTGTTTTCTTTCAAACAAAAATGAAAATATAAGTAATGATCCTTTTTTATACATTTTAACTTCACGCTATTATTAAATGGAATTTTTTTATTTTGACAGATAATTCTTCAATGAAAACTTATTAGACTTATGCAACTTCTCATACAATTTCCAGTAAATACTGTTGCCTGCCTATATTTTATTATTCATTTTTATCGATTATACCTACATAATTTTCTTTAATTTAAGCGATAAAAATATATAATAATAATAAATTAATGTTTTACTTGTTTTACAAATCCATATACTTTTATTAAAACTACCATATATACTTTTTAATTACGAATTCTATTAAAAGTTGCATTTGTCAGTGTAAATAGTCCATTAGTATCAAAACGAATTGGCGCTGCTGTCGCGCACGGAGCGAATAAGTAAATTGCATGGACCCGCTCGCGAAGTAATTAATATTAGTGGAGCCACTAAAATAAAAGAAATTAAGAAAGAGTTGATTATGAATTTTAGTGATCCCCGAAATAAAAGTTGCTTATTGTTGGATTTAAATAATTTAAGGCAAGCTCCTAACGAGAGCCCATATGAATTTCATGAAAAGGTCAGGAAATTATTAAACACTATTTCAAACTACCTCGGTTTGCATGAACTCAACTTAGATATAAGAAAATTTAAACAGAAATCATATAACGAACAAGCTCTTCAAGTATTTTTAGCTGGGTTAAGAAATCTTTATGGTATCATGGTTCGTACCAAAGATCCAAAAACACTGCTCGAAGCAATTAATTTTATAAGAAAAGAGGATAATATTAAATATTTACAAAATGCGCATTCAAATAACTCTCAAATTTCAATAAAAAGCCCCAACCATCAGTTTGTTAACAGAAATCAAAATTTTAATAATAACCAACAAACAAATTTTAATCAACCTAGCACTAGCTATTATAGAAATAATAACAATAGTAATTATAGAGGTTCGTTTCCTACTGGTCCTGTAAACATTCAACCGCCTAGACCAGTAGCTAATCAAAGATTTTTCACAAACCGACAGGTCTTTGGACCTCAACAAAACGTTTGGGAACCAAATCCTAATTTTAATGAAAATAATTCACCTAGGCCTACTCCAATGAGTACGACGTCCCGTCAAATTTCTGGCAATTCCAGAATTCAATTACCCCAAAATCGTAGATGGGTATCTGAAGAATTAAATAATAATGTCGAACATTGTGATTTGGCAGATAATTCAATCGATTTTGTGAGCAGCAATTGCGAATACGAAATTGTAGACTCTCCTTCTGGCGATAATTACCAAAATTTTCAGGAGCCCAGCCTCCCAAATCCGAAACCATGATAGAATTTTATAATTCACTTGATAAAGGACAATTACCTTATATTGCAATAAATAACCCACCATTAAAACTTTTATTAGACACCGGGGCAACTCGATCATTTTAATCTCCAGAAGCTGTTGATGAATACTTTTCAAAAATTAAAATAAAGAAACCATTTATTGTTTCAACTGCTTTCAGCTCCTCCAATCATAACTTTTCAGTAACCATTCCGGCATTCCCAGAATTCCAAACAAAACAGAATATAAATTTTTTTGTATATAAATTTAATTGCATATTTGATGGACTATTAGGAATAGATTTATTAAATTCATTGAATATTCATATTGATTTGCCAAATGCTCAAATAATTTCAAATAATAATATTTCTTTGCCAATTACTATTGAATCCAGAGAAATATTAGTGCCAGAGCAAACTATCGGTAATTGTACAATACCGAGTACATTAACATTTTCAATGAACGGTTGGGCAACTGACGAAATTTATAACAATTCGAACGAAGAAATAAATTCTACTGTATTATACCCAATTAAATGTATTTCAGTTGAGAATAATTTTGAAAGCTATAACTTTACTAATGAATCCATTATAGATAATTGCGACAAACATGAAATTAATGATCTAATTAAGATAGATCACAAAGAAATGACTGTCGGAATTTATAAAAGACATAATGAACTTATAACTAAACAAAATGGTAAAAAATTAGAAAAAACTAATGAAGCCCTTCACAACCCTTTAACGTATGATCCTGTCACCCTCGCGTACCACAAATCTGTAGCACACAAAAAAGATGGTCTACAATTCGGTCGTCATCTTAAAAAGAAAGAGCGTCCCAAAGTAAAAATAAATAGAATAAAAAACAAAAAGATCCGAATTAATTTGAAAAAGTTTTTCCTACACTTTATAAAAATTATTTAAAAAAATTTGTATCTAATCAAAAAATGTACTATTACAGCATTCTCCTCATCATGGCTACGATTATCGCAGCCCAAGAAATTAGAATCACGAGTCTGGAATCCAACCCTGGAATATTACCCTATAAATTAGGATATGCTAAATTACAATCCACATACCATTCTTTTATCCATTATTTTGATTTAGACCCTATCGAAACCGAACTTGTTAAAATAAATAATCAATTCGAAAATATAATTTTAACAATTGAAAATAAAAATGCGGTATTCACATCCGAACTTAAAAATAACATAAATTCAATCTCCTTTGAAATAAAACAATGCAAAGAAAAATTAAATTACCTCATTCTAATAAGAGACTTAAAAGAGGAATCTTAAACGGTCTAGGTACAATA